TAATCATCATTAATGATTTTGATGGGCTTTACAATCACTGCTTTAAATGTTAAATGTCAAAAACCTGATGTTGTCACTTGTTATCCAGAAAGATTGATTGACAATTCTATCAAGCGAAGACTTTTCTCAGTTTCAATTTCTTTTACTTATAAGGAAGATCCAAATAAATGTGCTTCAATAGTATATATTGATCTAACTATACGTATCAAAGCCTTCGTGTAAGTCAGAACCTTCGCTCAACTAACTTCACTGATGAAGAGACTTCGTCATTGAGATCCGGCGAGGTTTTTAAATCTTTTTTTGACCTGCCTATGTAGTAGGTAGCTACTAACATGCATGCATGCTTTCCTGTACAGTCCTGCATGTATATGGCATGTAGTAAAACATGGACTGGACTCATTAGTAAAACATGGACTGGACCCGATTAGTAAAACATGGACTCTATTAGTAAAACATGGACTCTATTAGTAAAACATGGACTCTATTAGTAAAACATGGATTCTATTAGTAAAACATGGACTCTATTAGTAAAACATGGACTCTATTAGTAAAACATGGACTCGATTAGTAAAACATGGACTCGATTAGTAAAACATGGACTCGATTAGTAAAACATGGACACGATTAGTAAAACATGGACTCGATTAGTAAAACATGGACTCGATTAGTAAAACATGGACTCGATTAGTAAAACATGGACTCGATTAGTAAAACATGGACTCGATTAGTAAAACATGGACTCGATTAGTAAAACATGGACTCGATTAGTAAAACATGGACTCGATTAGTAAAACATGGACTCGATTAGTAAAACATTCCTAAATGTAGTTCCTTGTCTGTTTTTTTGTAAATTGTAATTTTAATAACATCAACTTTAGTGTATAAGAGGGCATGTAGTAAAACATGGACTGGACTCGATTAGGGGCCGACCATTTAACTTTTGAGGGGGGGGGATTTACTGCTGGCAGGGAATTTTCTGGGATCGTTATGTGCAAGATTTTTTTTATCCCATCACCATGTACGATTTTTTTTTCCACACTTTCTTTCGCAGCATTTTTTTTTTCAATAGCTTATACTATTTAGATTCTTTAATGATAGTTAACGTTGAGTTTTCCGCTTCATGCATTGCTCTTAATAATACATATTGCTATGAGGTATAACATTTGGTTCAGGGCCTTTTTTAAGGATGTGTAACTGGAGAGGACATAATTAGTGGGGGACCTGGAGAAGTTCCAGTCGGCAAGTCTGTATCCAGGGCCGTAGCTAGCATGTATAGTTGGGGGGGGTGTAGGCCAAAAATTTCCAAATGACGAAAAAAAATTCCGAATATATCATGGCATACTAAGCCACAAAGGTGTTTGCTATTCGGAAAATGAAGACGCAATTTACAAACAAAAATACGCATATTTTACGCACAGACATATTACAGAAGCAGTGCGGTAGGGAGCTTTTGTTTATTGGGGGCAGAAAGCGAGGGCCGGGGAGCCGAGGAAATTTTTAAATTTCGAAATGCCATTTCATAGAAATGTCTTTGAAATGCCATTTGCTGGACTTTGGGGAAGTTTTGACAGAATGCTGATGGTCAGAAAAAAGCGTTTATAGTGACAATACAATTTTATAATATTTTCTCTGTTTAACAACTAAAATTTTGTTCTACTATTATTGCCATAATTTTCCGAATGGCCAACCCGATTTTCTGAATATGTTGATTCTAAAGAAGTTGGGGGGTTAACCACCCCCCAATACCACCCTCCTCGCTACAGCCCTGTCTGTATCACTGCAGCTACCTACAGCATATATATGCATGGTTTAACTAATAAGTATACGTCATAGGGCAGCAGCTCAGGCCATGCTTAACTAGGACTCTGAGACAACTGAGTCGACCACCGAAGGCGCGAGCCTCTAGAGGGGTCTGGTGGCATGCCCCCCCCCCCAGAACATTTTGGATTTTTTGAAGCTCAGATAAGCTATTTCCAGCATTTTGAGGAGTTTTCCAACAAGAAATTAACCTTACACTAGTCCCTGAAAATCAAACCAGCTGATCTTCTCGGACTTGTCAAATCGATCCCTGCACCAAATACTGGGGCAGAATTTTTTTCCCCAGTTTGTTAGTGCAGGTATTTTTTTTGTTCAGAATAGCCTTGCAGGAAATTTTTTTTCGAAATCCCCCCCCCCCTCAAAAGTTAAATGGTCAGCCCCTTAGTAAAACATGGACTCTTGGTAGGCATGATGTGCTATTCCACTGAATGACTCAGACCATTTTTTTCCTGAAACATTTAAACAATTTTTCATTGTGTTAGATTTTAAGCTGCCGTATTTCTTGAGTCTGTGAGGGGCATGATATTTTTGAAAGTGTCGCGTATCGATTTATTCCACGAGGAACTTCCTAATCAGTATGTACGTTTCCCTGATGACCCCATCTCCCCCCCGCCACCTTTCAAACCTAACGCGAAATTGAATAGAGGTCGGTTGTATCAAAGGCGTTTGGCTTAAAGGGTGTATAGGCAAAAAATTAAAAACATTCCTTCTCAATATACATATATTGTAAGTACTT